TGCGCCTACCTGATGAGCCCCAAGAAGGGCGAAACCGGCCGTGGGCTGTTGAAGAGTTTTTAGCAACTTTGTGAGTAGTTTCCTTTATGAAAAAGACTCTGTTTTTGTTTGTACAACATGGCTTCGATCCACATCACCTCGTACCAAGCTTTATTCGGATACGTCAACCATATCAATGCATTGGTTTCTGTGAGGGACTGGCTAATGGTCACAACAGACGTAACTTACAATGGAACGGAACCCCAGAGCATAGTTGAGAAATGGGGTAGCATCTGCGACAGCTCGGTGGCGAGTTTGAGTCCCGTCCAATAACTTCATTCTTTAGTGAATATTCACTCATCTGCAAACTAATTCGGTTTTTCGAGAGACTCACCTGGAACCCAGCTGGACCGCATGTTTGTGATGTTTCCAGGCTGTCGACGGATTTTCAGCAACCTTATGAGTAGTATATTACAAGCATAACTTCATTCTTTCTCTCCACATGTCGTATACTTGGGTCCACATGCTGCAGGCAGTATTCGGGTTTGGACTGAACATGAGCGCCAACATCTTCCCACAGAAGTTGTTCAGTTAAAATGTTTAACCATAAACCCCGCCTAAAGTCGTGTCATGAAGGTTATGTAACTCGTAGATAGAAAGAATACCACAGAGGACCTAAATGTTTTTATCCTCACTGCAACTTGGCCTTACAGGCGCCTATTCGAACTCAATGTGTAGTCCAGTTCTTGAAGTCTGTCTCGATCTGAGCTGCTTTTCAGTCAACCAAGGGATGCGGATGAATACTGTGAGCTGGTCAGAGTCTCATCGATGGTGGTACATGAATTGGAAAGGGGGGACAATAATTCTGGAAAATGCAGAGGTCTTAGGACGGGGACTGAGATCCATATCATGGTGGCTGACGGCCGAGGGCGTAGAAGTCAACAAGCATCACAGCGTGAATAGAATCGAGGATGTGGAACGGGCGTGCGTATGGAGAGCGGTCTTAGGCAAGTCGAGTTGGCAGGCGACGGTGTGGAGTTGTCAATATGCGTAGAGTGAAGAGGGGCTCACTCTCTTACATAAAGACGGACAAAAGTTTAAACGACTCTCAGGAGGAATCTTTTTACGTGAAGCAAACCGGAAGAGCTACACCCTAAGCTGAACTCAAATCCCATAGGTCTTAGCACTTTTTGCCGTACCCTTAACAGACACCCAACACCGACTTAGCCTAAATTAGCTGAGTGGTTCTCTACCAACCTCGTAATTTAGTCACCCAACCTTACAAAGCTTCTGTACCAAAAGTGAAACGTCGTCTATCAATAAATTTGCCAAACTTTTCCGAAAACGATAACTCCTCATTCGGTTCCTAGAGTCCATGCTTAGTTTATTGTCTCGTTTACAAGAAAGCTTGTTGAGACCATTTTACCGCAGAGAAGTAGCATTCTTCTGGAAAAAAACTGAACAAGAGTGCACACCCTCCTAATGACTAAAGCTCCCCAAGCACAAATCGTGTTCTGTTTGCTTCGAGATCGAGGAAGTAACTACATAAAAGCTGGGCCTTTACTATACTGCCTGATTTACAAAAAGTATTCATCGCCGTCGTCAAAAACAGCACACCATGTGAGAAAAGTGGTAATTCACTGTCGTACAACCATGTCAATTTATTTGAATAAGTTCTTATGGTAGAAAGAAAAAAAGAAATGGGGCAGCGAGACATCCTGGATAGACAGCATGAATATCACTGATATCGGTTAGCCAGCATATCGCTGTGTTTCCAACGAACCACCGAAGGCCCATCAAGTGAGCCCTATCCTGTTAGACGAACAGAACCAACAACACCCAAACTTTTCGCAGCATCCTTCATTCTCTGTCTCCATTTCATATCCAGTCCACCTCCAGGTTTTCGTTACTCCAAATTAATTACCGAAAATAACACGCTTTCCGGCATGACCCAGCAAACTTTTCTTGCAGTACTGGTGGATGCGTTCTTTGGGTGAAGCACGTTTGTTTCACCAAAGACCAGGAGCATTATCACCTCATTTCAACTTCGACAGTTTCAGTCGATTCTAGTCACATTTTTGAGGCATCTGTGGTCAGAAATCAGAAGATGGACGAAAGAGCTTGGGTCTATTCTGCCGGTGAAGTGTTACTGTTTGGCGAGTTCTGCTTTGGAAACGTTAGCCTTTCTATCTTGCGGCTTCCTCAAACGAGATTTGTAGGCGTGATTTGTTTTTGCTCAGGTTGTGCTTATGCTTTGACAGAATCAGAAAAAGTTTAGTTAACTTGAAGTAGCTTCCCTTGCAATTCAGAAGAGATGGAGCAGTAAATCTCTTGAACAGATAATCTTTACAAAGTTCTGACCCGATCTTGAGAGTCTCGTCCACAGAAGCACTTTCAAACTTGTGGGGTTTATCAGATATTTCAGATAGGATCCATGAAATGAATGTTTAGTTAGGGGGTCATCATGTGTTGGCTTTCCTATTAGGATCCAATTACCACGTCTTTCAAAGCTAGATGACTTGATTTCGAGAACTGCCTTGCTTCGCCTTAGTTGTTGAATATGGCAAACCGTGGGTGTTCGGGCTGTCGTCGTCGCCAGCTACTGAACCTCAGGAATGATTTGATGATTACCAAGTCGGAATTCGACAGAGAAGTCTCGTTTTTTGTATTTATAGTCGGATGTGGAATTTGTTCCCTTCCAGGCTATGGACGCAGAATACAAACTCTACACCACTGAAAAATTCGAAATTTCTATACCGATTGGATATCCGAGATCGCACCAGCCTTACATCAATCGTAAACCTTCCAAGTGAATCATCGAAGAGGTACTCAAACGCATGAATACCACAGCCGTGAGCTTCTGTTGTTTGCTGTGAACACTCAGTCACGAAGTCTATCGATTTATATCTAAGGTGAGACGTCTCCACTTCCTATCGCAAAAGCTTTTTAATGACATTTTAGGTAAATCCCATGAGATTGCAAGGAAGGTCGTGAAACTTACCTATGTAGCCTCTTGTCAAATGTTGGAATATTTTCTTACGACGGAATTCAGGCAGCCGTCGAGTATGTGCTGGTTGTGGATGGCGTCAGCGTGTCAGTAACGAGGTGATTAGAAAACGGGTATTTGGTTGTGCTGCAGGCACCTCAATCCGAGAAAACATCCAGCATCATCGACTACGATGGCTCGGTCATGTGCTACGCATGCCGATGCATCGTCTACCGAGACGAGTGTTGTTCTCCGTGCCTCCTTCAGGGAGGGCGCAACCGCGAGGTGGACAGCATATGACTTGGCGGAAAGGCATCAAAGAGATCACGAAAAGTTTGGGTGTTGCTGGTGTTGTGTGAATTCCAGGATGGGGTCCCCGCCACCCCGCCTGTGCTTGGCTGGAGACGTTGCAAGAAATGGCGGCTAATCGATGTCAGTGGCGTTTGTGCTGTCAGTTTCTTTCCAGATTGTCTGATTGAGTGGTTGGAGGTGTAGGCACTTCAGTATGCTTGATAAAGGCCAGCACTAGGTTCCCTCCCTCACCCATGCGCGACTTTATACCTCGTTTCATACATCTTACCAAACAAACTTTACAAGTCTCCCATAAAACCACGAAGGTCTCAAATTTCGCCACGCTCACTACGTTCCGCAACTAATCTGCGTCAACCAATCGGCTTATTCCGAATATGTCCTTGATACACCATCTGCTTTTTCCACCGGCTTGTACAGTACGTTGTTTCTCACAAAAATTCACCACGCATCCTAGTTGGACGGTATTTTAAATGATTAGGATACCTCGAACCGGGACACACAGAGAATATCTTGTAATGCGTCATCCTTTTTGGTCTTGGATTCTAATGATATACGTCAACTTTCCATACACACTACTGTACGTGTTCGTCTTCTTGGGTCGTTTCGCATGCGATCAGACAGCTCGGCTGTCCATCCAGGGTAGCCAACTGGACCATGTGCCGCAGATACCATGGCCCTACTACCCATCGCATGCGCTGTTCAGCACACTTTGTAGGTCACAGCGGGGCTGGATCCAACAGACATGTGATTTGACCGACCCCGATTCTGAGTGACCTGCACGCAGGAACACCAGGCCAACAAATTTGCGGCATCATTTTCGAATACTGACTGGCCCAGCCAGTTTTTAGTTTGTTTCTATATCCGCATAGTTGGGGAACTATTTCATTCCGGAACTGACAAATCGCCCGACAGATCTCAATGTCTCAAGTCGCTTGTTTCACCTCAGTCTACGTGTTGATCATTCCTAATCCATAGCGTTCGAATTAAGCGGGTAAACTCGATCAAAGTTGGTTAAATTGACCAACTGGAACAGTTGGAAAACGTTGAGAAAATCGGCTCATCTTCAACGAAGTTCATTGCAGCTCTCATCCGACGGTTGAACAGAAATCCCTCACCATCCCTTTGACGACCACAAATCAGCATTAAAGTGGCAATCTTGTCCCTTGTGTATCACTTTTATTTGCATCCATGTGCGACAAACGTTGGTCTAATTTATGGCGTGAAATGCAGCGAAATCTCCTGACCTTGATCCCATATCTTCGACAACCCTTCCCTTTTTTGTAAGGAAAACAAGGCTGTCATTCAGCAGCGGATGGAAAAGAAAAGAGAACATGCAAGACACGTCAGACTCCTTGTTTTTGTTCATTCATTTTTTTTAGATCTAAAAACAGGTAACGGTTCAGTAAGAACATGTACATTTTTAAAAAGAAAAATTGGCCTTTGAGTCACTTGGAATTTTGTTCAATTATATATTTTGAAACACACGGTGCAGAGGTGAGGTGTCAAGAGACCGGTCAAAACAGGAACTTACTAGAAAAGGATATGCTGTGGACACTGATGGATTGCCCAGTGCAAGTTGTCCCGGTGCAGGATATAATATCTGATGAGGGCGAATGGGAAGAACGTTTCGTTGGTGCAACTCAAATTTAGACTGTAATTGTGCGCTTGCAATATGCCGGAATACAAGTTCTCCTAGCCAGCCAATCAGATTTGATTACGCGGGTAGTGCATAAGCACTACTCACTTACTTCAGGTGTCAGTAGATGTTATTATAAACCCGTCTGTGGAGCAGTAAGGTAATGTATGCATTACATTTCAGTGGAAACCCTAAAACTATGGTCATATCCCGAAAGTGTCAGTTATTCGAGGCCTTTCACTCATACTGGTGCCTATCAGGTCAGCACGGAGGGATGATAGCATGCATAGAAAATCACTACTCAAACCGTCCAGGGCTGACACATCGCTCATAACATCAAAATCCTCTACCAGGAATAGCTATCTCAATTTGCACACGTAATCAGCGAGGTACTATCTAGGCCATTGTGGCCTGTTTGTGCACACCAAACACTAAAATGCCTATTGTGTAGCTTCCTCTATATCTGCTGTGCATATTATTCCATACGCTTCAACTCCACACGATCTATGTGGGTTCATTCACAAGACTGCTATCAAAAATCAGTCAGTATGTGAATTGGTCACTCTGTTAGACTGTCATTCACAGCATAATGGTGAGCAACACCTAAACTTTTGAAGAAAAAATGGCTGTCATGTAAAACACCCAAAGTGAGAAGAACTGAAGTTCAATGTACACATCCCGGCCAATGGATAAGTCAACTTTCGAGGAAGTGCTTTCGCTGTATCTGCGGTTTGACACTAAATTAGCATCGGGTTTTCACTACTTATTGATATGCAAGTAGTTGACAAACAAGAGCATAAACGTGAATGCACCCGACAGACGGTCAACAGGGCTCAATTCCTCAATTCCTCAGTTTACCATGAATACTGGCCTGAGGGGGGAAGCGAACTAGCACGCAAAACATTCATCGACCGTGAGACTTACAGAATTCGGAGCAGTTGTCCCGGCCATCGGAGACGAGTTAGCGGCGGGAGAAGTGCAGGCCGCAACTGCGTGCGGCTGCGGCAGCCGCGGCCGCCGCCGCGTTGAATGGCAGAATCCCTCCACTTTGCGCCAGCAACTGTTGTTGGAACAACTGTAACTGCATATTACGGATGATCATGTTGTTGCGGCCATTTCGCATTAGTTGTTCCCTCAAATGTTGCGGAGGGTGAAGGTACTTGCATGGAGGATCTCGCCGTTGGCATTTACCCTGGAACAGTCGAAAGACAAAGTTGTTCGCGGTAACCGAAAGTAGAGGGTGAATGCAACATTACCAAGGATGTCAATTCAATGTTTTATCGCTGTGTATAACAGTGAACACACTTGTCGAAATTGAAGCATTCGATCCTGAAATATTCACCGACTCGCTTGGTGCTCAGTATTCTGTCGCCTGCCAACGCCCAAAAGTCTTCAAGCAAAGTGATTCATAAAAAATACACATGCATCGCGATATCTTGAATATCGTAACGACTGAAACACGAGGCAACCTGATGTAGCACATTCAGTGGCCTGGAAACATCACACACGAGAGACTAAGCTGGGTTCCAGGCGAGTCTCTCGCAAAACCAAATTTGTCGGCAAATGAGTGAATTTCGCCAATTTCGTGCAATTTTGCTTCAAGTAGAACATAAGGTTGACGGAAACTCGGGAACTGCGCCTACCTGATGAGCTCCAAGAGGGGAGAAACCGGTCGTGGGCTGTCGAGGAGTTTTCAGCGACCTTATGAGCAGTGGATTACAAAGTGAAACTACTTTAGGAGTGGGCATTCATCTACTTGGTATACTTTAATAAACACCAACGTTGTGTATGCAAGATATTAAGGTAAATTTTTCAGCTTCTCGTATCCTGGACATTGCAAACACTGCTAAAAATGGTTTCATAGCCTATTTTATTCACTAGCCCGATTAAAATTCATAATATCGTCATGAGAAAATAGATCGGCTAAACAGGTCAAGAAACACAAGTCTGAATGTGACCAAAGGTCTAAACGAACCTATTCACAAGTGCCTGATTCCTACACAACGGATATAAAACTGTGGAGTACAATTCAGATGGAAAAATCACAGGTGGAACATTACCACATTTAACTGAAACAAACCGATTGCACCTACTGCTGTCGCACGCCACAACTCAGGTTCAGTAACACCTCCATTCCTCCCAACTCCCTTTTAATTCAAACCATTTTGGAAAAGGCTCATCAGAAAATAAATGGGTTTCCTTCGGTACCGATAGTTTTGAGTGTTTAGGGACCGAAAAAATCAAACACTGCAAACGGCACATACTAGTATCATTTATTTTTGAAGAGCATAGTCAAAAACATAAAAAGCGAATGCAAGCAACGAATGTGGAAGGGTAACAGGAGAATATGGGAGAAAAGAGAGAAACGTCTCATTCGAATTCATGCCAACAACAGTTCCAGTCTGATGAGATGAATCCCAAAGTATGTAAAGATTTTGATATGGAAACACGCGTCTAAAGACTAACAACCGAAGGAAGGACAAACAATGTTGAATGCTCTTCAAGGCGCGGTAGGTGCTAGCACAGTCAAGACTCGCACATCAGGCATACTGGGTCATAGTGGGTCTGGTGTGAATTAAAAAGCAAAAATGTACATTCAACGCCATGTGCCACGCATAAAAGGTGTCATAAGTACGCAGATAGCCCACAATGGCCAGAACAGGAACACGACCGTTCAAACGAGAGTAGTTTGACTATGAACAAAATACCTATCCCGCAAAACCCCAAAATTGCAAGCAAACACAAGTCACTGACTGCGACCTTAGGAAGTCCCAGTCCAATAACAGCCTTAGCGGATTGAGCAAAGCAGATCCCTCGATAAGAGGTGATCATCGGTTTGTGAACCAAAAAGTCGACATCACAACCGATTGCATGTAGGGCTGAGATTATGACGGGGGAACATTCATCAGCACCGTACCTCTGCTTCTTCTCATTCCACACGGTCACTCCGCCCATCCGAGACTATGCTGACGTCTATCACAGTTGCTCGGCGATTCTCTTGTTCGACAATCACCAAAACTTATTTTTACTTGCACCAGAAACAGACAAGAAAAGTTCACAGGGTTTTGGTAGTCTTAAATCAGTGACGAAAATCAACTAGTGAATGTCGGGCGAACCTAGTAAAGTTAGGTAGTAGGAGCTAGTCGGAAACAATGTGTAATTTTGATACCATGGCTGGAGCAAGCCGGCGGGATCATAACGGAACTTTGGATGTCAGTGCCGATTGAAGGACGTTCACTCGAACAAATCACGTGACACTGGTCAGAAGGTAGGAGAGGACCTCAGATAGCGGTATTGTTTCAGTTTAGTGCGCACGGTTTGACAAAAATAGCCCCTAATGAATGGCTGGATTATCATGAGTTGCACGATTACTGTGATTGAAGAAATCGACAGAATGAACTTGGCCGCACGGACTTATTTAGCAATGAATACTATTCAAGCTGCAAACTGCGGAGGTTCGCGCCCAACCCCTTTTGGGCGATTTCTTCCCATGTGAAACAGATAAGAAGGAGGAATAAAGTTCATAGGTGATATAATAATCGCATAAGCCATCCCGAGTGGTGTTTTAGACTTTACTTTTTTCTGGGGATGACAACGGAATACAACTTGAATTGGTCCGGTGCGTGTTGCTCTGAAGAGGAAGCATTGCTCTGAACCGTATCATGTCTGATGTTTGAATGCGTCATTCAACCGGCAGGTATTTTTTTAGTTTCCAGCAACCTTTCCATGGAGAAAATACCGTTGAACCATCTATACCGATTACAGACAACAAATCGATCCATAGAAACCAGACTACAGACCTAGGAGACTTTTCAATTCGTGTTCAGTTGGCCACATCCGAGTGTGTCCAATTCTGACCACATCATCATTGAACATGATAGAAACGTAAACAATTCGCCTTTTTGTCAAGTCGTCTGCTGTATTTACCCGCGAGAATCTGTTCGGGCATTCTGTTGTGTACATCGATCAGGGCAGGTGAAGGGCGCACTGCATTTGTTTATGTGATGGCCAGATAGAGGTGACGTGTACCTAGGACTACAATTCACTCTTTTGTTTCTGGTCTACCTGGTCATCTGTGACAGTCGTGAACAAGACGAGGTTGAGTTTCAGAGAGCCAGGAGAGACCAGGATGAAGAAAAAATAAGTTTGTTCTCACCAGCTGCGAACAATCAAACTGAGAGCATTCGACAGGAATCTCAAGGGATTTCAAACCGGACAACTTAGAGAACCCTTCCACCGCAACAGCTGAGGTACAGATGATTTCTGCCCCGAGTCACTGATATGGACAACTGCTCCAACTGTTAACGTCCACCACTGAACAGCAGAAGCAATTTGGGCAACTATAGGCAGGAATTTGTAGGAATCTATTTCGGAATTGTTCCAATGCAGTGGAAAGAAACACAAGCACTGTGGAATCCAGGTGAGAATCGCACACCGACTAGGCATCGATGAAGGAGAAGTTGACCGCCAAAAATTTGTTAGGCATTGGACGTCATGGAGTACCCAATGATTATCGAACTAGGTGGTTTCGTTTTTGGCTAGATGTTGTGATAAAGACGTGAGACCGAAACGCATAGTCGCATAGCACGTTTCGACCTTGGGTGATCGTACAGAAGTCACGTCATGTGACCCTTTGGCCATCACTTTGCGTTTGCTAATCATTACAGTCAGATTGATCTCTTTATTAGATCAAACGATTAACACCGTTGTTTTAAAATGGCCGTGCGAATCCTGGAACTAATATCGAATGAATCATGAACCTAATGGTTCCGAATAGGGATGAAACAGCAGTATCTCAGTCGCTCGGTAGGCGATAGATGGCGGGTTAGAGTTCTGTCCGAGGAGTCTGTCTGGTGTGTGTTTGCGTATGTGTGTCCGTCTATGTTTCTTGGGCGAGATGGCCCAAGTGGTTAGAGAGCGAATTCACTGACCGGAAGGTCCATGGTTCGAATCTGTCCTCTGCCTCTCGACTTCCCCTGTCTAGGCTTGGTCAACCTGGCAGGATCCCAGCCCTCGTGCTTCCTTCGGGTGGCATGGCAGCTAGGCACCGGAAGAGTGCTACAGCTGAACGCTTTTTCTGTGTTTCTGGGTTGACAAGCAAGAAGAAAAGTGAAATCCCTTGTGCGAATGAACTTCTTGAGAACAAGCCACATCCGTCCCAAAACGAACTGAGAAACTAACCGCGGAACTGTGCATGCTGTCTGTCAAAAGCACAAGTCACCCAACCATCCACCAGTATGCACTTTAAAGTGAACAGTGGATTTGCATGATTATTTCAACTGATTCGGTTCCTTTGTGGTCTGTTCATTACAAACTGGTCATGTTGGTCAACCCGTCTATATAGGTGACGTACCTTGAGAATCACTTAAACAAAACATTGTCGAGTCGTTCATTCAAGCCCGATAGAACGGATGATATGCGATTTCCTATCATACTGTTAAACAGTCCTCTTTCGCCGTTAAAGGATACCCCAGCAAGCCGCTGCAGTGTAAGTGACGGTGTAGTCATATGATCTGTCGAGTGAGATCGTGCTCAATGGTCATCGGGTCAACGATCCGAACCGAAGTTTGGTGATGGGATGAGTGCTCAGTATCCATTATCTTGAGAACCATCCGCTGTGGACTTTCTACAGTATGTCTGTCATGTCTCTCTGGAACACTGTCAATGACCAAGGATTGACGAGAAGCGAGCTATTCATTTTCATAAAGGAAACTACTCACAAGGTTGCTGGAAACTCCTAGACAGCCCAAGGCCGGTTTAGCTCTTTGTGGGGTTCATCAGGTAGGCACAGTAGCCCACTTTCCGTTAACTTATGTTCCACCTGAACCTAAAATGAACAGAAGCAAATCACTCATTTGAAAACGCGACACAGAGGACATCCATAAGCGTGAAACCCAGCTGGTGTAAGTTGGTTATCCGATCCTGACTGAGATACAACTCAACCGGAGGTTTTGCCGCTTGGTATAAAGTCGTCCGACACTTTTTCTGGTGACAATCGTATAGATAAGGAAACCTCGTTTGAGAAACTTTATACCAGCCTTTGTTGCGGACTCGGAAGCTGAATACGAAGCATTGCTACAAAGTTTGATAGTAATCTGTATCAGTTCATTGAACAAACAACCCTCTGAGAAGTAAGAAACGTCGTCAGATGAAAAAACGCGAACTTAAGAATTCACATCGGACAGAGAATACAGTGCAGTTTTGTCGGACTCTGAAACTAAATAAACAAGATGGACTGGATACACTAAGAACTTGCAGTTGATGTTTAACTGTCATCCTGAGAAGGAGTCAATGTATGTGTCCGAAGAACAGTTTTAACAACTCGAGTAAACTGGAGTGCATATTCCACGACTTGGCGCAAATTCGCAAAACAGCTGTTCCTTTACATTACATCCTCGATATATAAGACTATCTAATGGCTATCGACGAGTCTTAAACCTGCTCCCGACCTGACCACTACTTATGACTGCATCAAACGCACAAGTGGTCTGCAGTCATCGAATGACACTGTGTTTTGATGAGATATATCACCTTTATTTATCAGTTGTCTTAAGTAAAAACCATAGTAACATACTAATCGTTCAGGTGTGACAATCTTTCGGTGCCAAGCTGTCATGCCATCCGAAGAAAGTACGAGGACCGAGATACTGCCAGGTTGCCCAGGCCTAGACAGGAGCAGTTAAGAAATCCAGGGTTGTATTCGAACCA